TTTTCTGTTGTCTATTTCTATTTTCCACTTATTGCCTTTTCTCCATCTTATCTTTGCAAGACCTCACAACTCTCTCATTCTTTTGGGATTAATCACTGAAATCTTATAACCCACAGAATGTAGACAGCCCTATTCACCACAACTGTGGTAAGCCTATCAAAAACTGGAGGGATATTTTCTCACAACTTTTACATTGTGTATGAGATGTACTTACTGGCCATTAATATATCTGGTACCGTTTGGCAAGTTTTCCATCAGCCATGCCCACCATCCCCCATGCCCTCACTTCCCTTGTAGCCCCTCCTGTGCCTGAGTCAATGACACACTTGTGTTTTCTACCTCTTTCTTCTCATGAAGGAAAAACAGGAAGTGCGAAGGAATTATTCTGATATTGTATAGTAAATTTGATCCACCCAAACCCTGTATCTTTCCCTCATCCTACATTTTTCCTCTACACACTATTACATATCACTAAGTTACTTCCTAGATACTTGTACATGCATCATTTCATGACTTAAATGATAAAAAAATCCATCTGTTAATCTTCCTCTCCCTCTCTCTCCCTTTACCTCACCCTCTCCCTCTCTCTCCCTTTACCTCACCCTCTCCCTCTCTCTCCCTTTACCTCACCCTCTCCCTCTTTCTCCCTTTACCTCACCCTCTCCCTCTCTCTCCCTCTCCCTCTCTCCTGATTTGGTATCCATTTTCTATTTTTCCTCAGGCCATCCTTTACCTGATCTACCTGCTAGACCCCCTGGTGCGTGGCGACTATGTGATTGTCTACTTCCACACCATTACCACAACAGAGAACCATCCCTCTCTTGCTTGGATCAGGGAGGTCTACGAGGTCCTTGAGTATAAGTAAGTGCCAGATTTGATTTTAGGGATAATTTTGTACTTTATTTTACTTTTAGAAAAGTACAGATAGGTATAAAGTAAGTGTGTGTGATAATGTGGGAATTCTAAGAATCTGAGCAGATGTCTTTGTTATATTTTTGTGTATTTCTTTCTTTTGCGTGCATGTTTATGTCCTTGTCTTGTCTTGACTTACCTATCTTGTCTTGCTTCATCATTATTGTTCAGTATATGTCAAGTAAAGGGTAATGTTCACAGCTGGCAACTCACCACTGACTCAGAAATACTCCCATTTGGAGTACTTGATGAGTTTTTTGAAGAGTGCTAGTTTTTCCTTTCCTGAGATTGGATGGATTATAGGCAGTTGTGTTTCAGTACTGCAAAGGTCTATGAAGAGCCATAAGTGACTGGTATTTGGTTTATGCTTGTATCTGGCAAGGCTTGTTTGAAGTGTTCTATACATATTCCCTGTGTAAGTGGAGGTGGGATGTGGTATTGAGGATGTTTCTGTAACATCTTTGAGAGTATATTTGTAGGGGTGTTGGTGAAAGCATAAACATGCATTGATGATGATGTTCTGCACTGTGTATTCCAAAGTTTATACTATGAATTTCTTCCTCCTCCCAGATACAAGAAGAACCTCAAGGCCTTCTATATCGTGCACCCAACGCTATGGACCAAAATTATGACTTGGTGGTTCACTACTTTCATGGCACCACAGATCAAGCATAAGGTGAGTTGGTTTTTCTGTGCTGTGGTATAATGCGCTGTACTGTCACAGTGTGTTATAATGTACTATTATTTTATAGTGGTTTATAGTGTTACAGTGTATTATAATTCCTCAGGTCAAGCACAAGGTGAGTTTTTTTAATAGTGTTTTAGTGTGTGATGTTGTGATGTAGTGTTATAGTGTGTTATGGCTTCTCAGATCAAGCATTAAGTAAGGTTAATTGTGACTCAGTCTGATTGCAGCTTTATGCTGTAGGGAAGATCATAGTCTTTACTTTGACAGTTATGAATTAGTATGAATATTTCTGATTTTATTGTGGCTTTTTGGCATGTTACGTAATCTAATATCATTTACTGTTTGTGTATCCATATGTAGCCATGACTTAATCTCTTCTTGTTTCCCTCAGGTTCACTCTGTTCCTGGCGTTGAATACCTTTATGACATCATAGATCAAGACCAGTTGGAGATCCCCGCATACATCACAGAGCATGATATGACAGTGAGTGGAATCTTTGGAAGATAGTTCTCAATTTTTTCTGTCTGTACATTTTACCTTTTTGTATGCATAAGTGTTTTTTTCTTCTTCTCTTTCTGTTTAGTGCCTTGAAGGAAAATGTTATAAATTTGTTGATAGGAAACACTGAGGATTGAAAGTGGTAATAAGGGATCAGGTGGAATATTTTTGAGAGAAAATTTCGGTCTCTGATTATTTTAAGCAAAATACAGAATTTACTTTTGAGGGTTATCCTGAGGAAATTCATCTTTTGTATATTTCCTTTATAATCTAAAAGCCTTTCCCTGTTTTTCTTATTATTCTCCTCTTTACAGGTCAATGGAATTCGCTACTACAAGCCAGGCTCGGCATCCTCTTGAAAAGCATCGAACTCCTTTGAAAATCCAGAGATGGAGTGAGGAAAGATGCTTCTTGTTTTTTTATTTTTTATTCTCTCTTTTTTCTGTTAATGAGCCTGTAGTGTGTGACATGCAATAATGATAATAGTTATAAAATGAATGAAAAATCAGGAATAAAAAAGCCAAAGTATGCCGAGAGTGAAGAGAGGTGAAGCGAGGATTTTTCAGCGCAGTATTGATGTATGATAGTTGGCGTTTTGATCACATTTTCTCATTCTTCCATTGTGAGGAAATATTTTATGTTGTTATTTACAAAGAGCTTTGTGCAGTGATGTAACATATCTTAGCACTACACTTTAGATTGTGGCCTTGTTTTAAGAAAAAAGTAATTGATAGTAATAATAATAATAATCATAAAAGTATATCATATATGTAAAAATAAGTCCTGCCTGATTCCTCCTTGATCAGGGTAGATATTACATGCACTATTCATGTCCTTTCAAGATAGTAGAGTAGAAATCAAAATATGAGGAAGGTATAGAAAGCAGACCGTAATTATAGAGAAAAGAAATCCATCTTCTTTCTCTCTCTCGGGTTGGGGGAGTATATGTGTTTTGTATATACCATTAACCTATTTTTACTGGCAATATACCCATTGCTCAATAACTTACCAAGGAGTCTCCTTACCTCCACCCCTTACCCTCCAACCCCTCTCCCCCTTTCTCTTAAAACTTCCCTGACATGAGCAGTAATATCTTTTTTTTTTTGGTGTATATAAAGACTAAACAATCAAGGTGTTTGTCAGTGAATTGAGGATGCAATCAACATATCTCTCTTGTGTATGTACGTATGTGCGCGTGATGGAGCCATGTTTGGTATTCCATTTTTTTTTTTTTTTCTTTTTCTTTTCCAATTGTCATGGCATTGATTAAAATCTTGTTGGGGATGGAGTGGTTTATGCTTGTTTACCTTCATTTTTAAAATTTTTCTTAGTGCTCTTTTATTAGTTTGTTTAAAAGCATTTACTGTTTTACTTGCTTTTCTGGCTGTTCTTCCTGTTTCTCAAGTTTTTACATATTTCTCTTTAAGTACACCATTTTTGATGACTTTACATATGATATTAGCCTATGAAAGAATATTCTCATTGTTGACCACTTATGTGCTTTGCAAATTAAATGCTACAAGACTTTCCAGAATATGTTTGCATGCACTAGTATATGTTCATTTGTGAATGAGGGAATGAAGGAGGATGAAAGAGTGAAAGTGAAGAAGAAAAAAAAGAGTGAGTGAAGGAGTCAGCTCTGAGTTGAGGAGGAGAAAGAACAGACATGAGGGAGATTGAGAGAAAGAAAGGAGAAGGAGAGAAAGTGAGTGTGGCTTGAATAAGTAAATGTGACCATTTGGATTTAGACAAGGAATGAAGAAGTTTGTATGTAACCTTGTACCATTTAAATTGTAGAGCATATCTAATGATCTTCTCAATAAAGTTCAGTAACACAGTACATTGAAAGTCACTGTAAAAGGCATGAATTTTTTGTAAATTAAGAAGAGATTAACAATCAAAGAAATAAGACAATAATAGATTTCTTCTTGTATTTATTTACAAATATATTCACCTTAGTTGTGTTATTTGATTCCATTAAAATCACGTTCAGTAATTAGTACAAGAATAGTTGCATTTATTTTTATTTTTACATAATTTGGGTTGAAAGCTTATTTACAGAGGTTCTGATAACTCTCTCCTTTCTCTATTTTCTTCATTCCTATTTTATTTTCTTCATTCCTATTTTAGTATGACATTAATATAAGAACAGAGATCAAGTAATATGATATAGTAAAGTATGATTAAGTTAAGGGGAGCATTGGAGTAGACCTTACATATCATTAAATGAATAGTAAAAAAAAGAGAAGAAAAACACTTGAATTAGAGCAAATATTCCCAATTGTGAATTATCCAATTCTCATTTTTGATGCTAAAAATCCTGGAAGCATCTTATGTGATCCTTACTATATGGAATTATGAAGTTTAGAGTATGTTTGTTTTATATGCAGTTAACTTCCTTCAGTATGAAATATCTAGCTAGAATAAAAGATAAAACTTTAAATCCTTTTTTAAATTATGTATGTTCCTTAGGGATTGGCCAAGTAGCTACAGAGCAGTACCAGAACAAGTTAAAATTTGAGGCTGGGAAATCAGAGCCATAAATCAAGCACAACTTAAGCAACATTTATTGCTACTTGTGTGCCTCTCTCTGCTGCTTTTGGTCGTTTAATCAGTCAAAGAATCAGTATGACATGCAGTCTTCACAGAATACCATTTTGAAAAGGTGTTCATGGTTAGTAAGTGAAGGTATTAGGAGGCACCACCTTCATTGCTGACAGGTATAACAATTAGTATTCTCTAGGATTATGTTTATTACTGTCTGGAGCAATCAGTTCCTTTTAGAAATCTCATTTACTGGACCTTTTCATGTGGAATCTTGGACAAATACAAGTTCTTGGAAATAAGCTTCTCAGATGATGTCAGATGATGAAGTATGGCATAAATTGCTTTCCTCAGTCTTATGGTCATTGCTCACATTATGGCCTTTCCATAGTACTGTGACAGCTGGATAGTAATGTCTCAGAATGTGTGTGTAAAACCAAGGCGGCTATACTTTGTCTTCTTATCAGTCCTGGTGATGAGTCACTGGCTATCATCCTCCCCATATGATTATTATATTCTTTGATGACAAGATGTCTTTTGTAAGAGCCTTGTTCTTCATGTAATCTATAGACAGCTTTGAAGTACATTCAAAACCTTTTCATCAACAAAGAGTAAGCAGAGTTACACCACACACTGTCTCCATGGTGAGGTGTAATTTGATGTCACCTCTGTAGTGATAATGTGTAGGTAGTAGTGACAAAACAAAGACAAAAGGGAAGTTTCAATGTATTGCAAAGATTTCTGCTTAAAAGTTCTCTTCTAAAGAGAGTCTTTTGTGGGACAGCATGTCCTCTTCCAGTTGTCAGGCAAAAATAAACTTTCATGACATTTGACACAAAGTCTTTGTGCCAGTTGTCAGGATGTGAAACTACATCACATTCATGAACAAACATCTTTTAACAGTAGATTGTGGTTTTGGTAAGAAGTTTGTATTGTGGTATTTGAGATAAAGCTGTGGATTGTGGTGTGGGAGTGTAGGGAAGTGAGGAAAATAAGATCAGGATTGAAGGAGGGAAAGCCGGTGCAGAACAGCTAGCAGTGGGCAGACATGTTCAAACTATGGAGGAGGGTGGTATTTCCTCCTCTTTTCCAAGCTTTTTTTTCCTCTTGTCTCCCTGCATCACTTTTTATGCTCTCATCTTTTTCTTAGGCTTTTGGATTTGCATAGCATGCTGAAACAAAGCATTTATGAAGTTTGAAGAAGACTCACTGAGTGACAGAATGTTGCTCATCCTACTCCCTTTGTTAAATGATCACCACATAGGCCATGGGACCTTTATACCTGTGGAGCTTAAGGCAAGTTAGCCTTTAAATACCTGTAAAAAATTGCCATAACTGCTTATTTTGTAAGTTTTGCCAGAAAACTTCAGCTCAAGAAAGCTGAAAGATACCCAAACATTGGACTTTTTGTCTGGATGTTAGTATTTTCCAGTAATGCACTATCCTCTCCAATGCCCCCCTTAAGGAAGCAGTGGTCTGTGCCTATTAAGTCACACATGAAGAAATGGTAAGGTGATGACGTTAGATCAGAAAATTACACCTGACTTGACTGCATAAGAGACATTGTCAACTAGTTTACTGTTAACACTTAAAATGATATAATGTATATAATATGTTTTTGTTCGCAAAAAGAGGAAGCCATAGAAGAAATATGAGGGAAAATTATTATCTGTTGACCATGCTTAAATCTTGTTGATGATATTGTATATACTTATCTAAGATGTTATACATTGCACATTATGAACTGAGCAGTGTACTATACTTTGTGGCATGTCAGCTCAGTTTCTGGTCAAAATAAAGCTCCTGTCAGGATGTGCTTCCAAAATTGGGTTGGAGTTCAGAGATATCACAGTTTTCTTCTTTTTTCAGTTCAGTTGTTGTTGATGTTGAAGTGTTCTGAACTATCTTGTTTCTCATTGGCAAAGAATGAAAACTAGTGGTAATAATGAATAATAATTGATAAGAAAACAGAAATAAAAAGTAACAGACAAGAAAAAAAAAGTGATGACTCTGAACTGTCTCCCTAAGAAGTCAAAAAAAAGAAAGAAAAGAAAAAAAGACAAGACAAGTGAGACCTCAGATCACTCGATATCCTCGTCATCACTTCTTTCAGGTTACATGTGAATTGCAAATCAAATACAAGCACCCAAGCTGAGGTTTGGTGTGTTCTGTGGCATTAACCAGTGAGTAGTGTGTTATTAAAGTAGATAAGCACAGGTATCTTTGGAAAGCTTGTGAGAATAATAGATGGGAAACTATTTTCACAATAGAGATATAAGGCATTATTTGTTTTTATTTATTTTATGATTATCTCTTTGTTTGAAGATTTTTTATTCATCAAAATCTAGATATATGCATTTAAATATTAATTTTGATTTGGATTTTTGGAAATAGCCATAAATGTGTTTTCTTAGGGGAGAAAGGAATTTGTATCAAAGATTGTAACTGCACTGTGAAGCAAGGATGAGGTGTTGCGGATCAAATGTTTTGTGTACAGAGACTCTGTTCCTCTGCAGCAGCCTCAGTAATAATACTTAACCATATCTGTACAGCTGCTTTGGTAAAGAGATGGGAGAAGCCTCTTAGATATTACACAAAAAGGAGAAAAAAATGTATACTGGCTATAATCTTGTTTGTGTAAAGTGCTTGCTCCAACTGTTGATTCTTTTTGACGAGAGCAATGAAATTATTCTTAGGAACCCCAAGCAGGTAGTCCAATTTTATTTTGTGATAATAGTGCCATCAGATTTTTTGCTTAAAGAGTAGTTGTAGTTTGTATGAAAATTTTGATAAATGCATAAGTTTATATTGCCATAGTTTGGTTTATATATGTTGTAGTTGAGATGTTTTGCTAGTTTTTTTGTTACATTTGATAACATAGTTATAGATTTTATACTTGTTGAATATTCATACTTTCCTTGTATATTATGTTAGAACTTAAAAAAATATATTGTTGATACCCAAAATAGGTCATTAGAAATGGCATTAAAATTTTTAAAAAGGATATGAAAATGGTTTTGATTTCAAGCAGATCAATTTGATATAAAATGCTTTGTTTAACATTATATTTGATGACCAAGGTATTGGTACTGGATGCTATGCACATGCTTTGATATGAAGGAAATGGGCAAATACCATATATATTTATTTTTACAAGATTTTTTTCCCTTTCTCTTTTTTTCCTTTTTTTCTCTTTCTTTTTATTTTTTGGTGTTTGTTATAATCAGTACCAAAAATTTAATGATGTTGCAGTTTGGAAAGTAAGTGCTGTCTGTCCCGATGTTTTTTCCAGAATAAACAAACAATAAGGGAATCATACGGCTCCTTTTGCCTTGCAAGTTGACAGTTGCTTGGAGCTTATACCTGCACCTTAAGGGATGTGGCTTTGCAGTTTCCCAACCCTTGAAAATGCACACACATCCCTTAGTGTGAGGAATGAGTTTTTTAGAGATATAAACAAAACGTATTTTTGTAGTTGCCGCAGATTGTTGGAACTTTTGTCTTAATAGCCTTGATGTTATGTGTATAATCAGTAAACTGTAGTAGGCCATATATCTTGGAGTGACTGGACAAAATAGAAAGAGAGAAAAAGATATATACCCTAGGCAGCTATAGGTACTTCCAAGTAGCAGTAGTGTCCAGCAGGCTTTATGACGATGACAACAACAGTGTCACAGGGAATCTGGGTTGTCATTTTATGAAACTTATTCCGTTATTCATGTGACACACTGATCACAGATTCACTGTGATTACAAAGAGAAAGAGTTGCTGAGTCATTTGACCTCTTTTGATCTTGCAATTTTTTGGTACCTATGAATTTTTTGTAAATATTGGGTCACCTTTAACAGATTTTAAATCAAGAACAGTATAAATAATACTACTGTTAATAAATATTGATTAAATAAAAGGAAAAATTAACAGAAGGAATAAGCTCAAGATTTTTTTTTTTTCTTTTTAACCCTTTCACATAATGCACTCTTTCTCCTGAAGGACAAAAACTGTACTGATTCATAGGTCAGGATAAGTGTGCCATAGCAAAGTAATTATTATAGGCCAAAGATTACTTAATGTCTTCAAATAATTTTTTAGATATATTTTGTTAAGTAGACATCACGCCATATATATGTATAAGCCAGTCACATGCATTGACTGTCACAGTGCTCTTATCTTCAGTATTTAAAATAGTTTCTCATAATTTGATTTCAAAGTTAAATCTGATAGGTATGCGAAAAGAAAACTGTCCTTTGTTTTGCCTTTAATAATTCTTGATACTGAAAAGGCATAGATGTTTATGTTCAGTCTTTATTAAGTTTTAAGTAAATTTGTTTATTGCCTGATGTCTAAACCTGCCTATTTATTGATATCAGACAAGACTGATAATTATTGGGTTATATTTTGAGGAATGTTCATTATTTTTATCTTTATTACCTTCCTTTTCCTGGCCTATAAACATTATTATTAGATTATTTAATGACAATATGATGGAATTTTCCTTCCCTTAGAGATATCGAACTGTTATTTTGAACTTGATCTTGTCATCAGAGGTCCAAGACTAAGCTCTTACAGAAGTAGTAACAGGAAGTTTTCAAAGACTATTCCATGTTCATGGAGGAAAGTGGAGTTCATCATTGAGAGGAGACTTTGAGTCCAGCAGGAGAAATTTGTTCAAGCACACAGTAGCTTCTATAACATTCTCCCAAAAGCAGGGACATTTACCTTGCATGCCTCAGACTATTACTCAAAAGCTCTCTTTTAAAAAAGTAACCTAGTATGGCTAGAGAGTAGTACAAGGTAACTAGTAGATAATTAAAACAATAATGAGATAAAACTTATCTGCAGCATCAACTAAGAATAGATAGAACACCACTTGGTCTCTCCCTCCCACGTGTGTCTTTGGCCCATGATCTTGCACTATGCTATAAGAACCCTTTATACTGCCACAGCTCAGATAATGACTATGCTGTTGCAGTTCCCCTTATATTTTGTCATGAAAATTGCTTTTATCTATTTAATTTGGGATTTTGTTTATGATTTGGCAAACTTAAATTTGTTCTACTTATATAGTTGTAGTTCTTACTTGTTAAAAGTATGGTTGTAAGATCTAAAAAATATAATAATTACAAGTTTTTGTTTTGCCTGACTATTACCTAATTGATATTATCTTCTTTATTTATCATTATACTTTTATTACTACCATTTAGTACAATTATTTTTTGATGATGCTTTACATGTTCCAGGTGTACAGTATATAGGTTATTAGAGTTGCTGTTAACATGTTAATGATACTGTATAATAAAAAATATTAAAAATGAATAAACTGTTCACAACAAAATAAGTAAGGTTTGAATACCATCCTCTTCTTTTAACCCATTAACGCCGGTATATTTTGAAGCCCAAAATAAAAGATTCCAGGCGGCTACAAAATCGGTTGGCAGAGCTTCCCCGGAGTCTGTCCACCCGCCTGCCGCAGGCCGCTGCTGCGTCGGAGCCCTGATACAGCGTCATACTGGCGGGACGCCTGGCAATGTTTATTTTTTCAGGTGTCTCATATGTGGGACACCCGTCGTGAATGGGTTAACCTGTTTATACTGGAAGTGCTTGCATGGTTTAATTTGTTTTTACACTGATGGCTGACACATGTACTTTGTCACCATGGAGTCATTTTCTAGACCTTCCTGACCTCACCAATTACCAAATTTCTTGATTATATTTTTTTCTTTTTTACTATTATTACCATCAGTCTTTAAACAAAATATATAAGATATAATCACAATGGACAGTGCAAGCACCCTTTCCCAGTGGGTCAGCTACTAAATTCCGAAGTGGCATGAGGCATTACACCAAAAATGTTGTTAGAAATATGTAAACTGCACAAGATACAAGAATGGTGCATGAGAATTGTAAGAAACAAAAAGCCAAAAAAGAACAAAACAGTTTCCAGATAACAGGCTCAAAAGCACCATTCTTACTAAAGCTGAATTATTTTTTATTATAGTAACTAACCCCTTTTGTGAACACATCAGTACTCGAAAAACAGCAACTATTTGGGAAACAACTATACCAATGCAATGCCTCAAAACCCTTTGCAAAAAAGAATTTTCTTAGATAAAATCAGCAAATGGGGTACTTTAAAAAATAAAATAAAGTTATGTATGAATTGAGAAATAATGGAATTTTTTCCTTTACCTTATGTTATTTTGTTTTAATTCAAAAATCACTGAAAAGGAATAGATAAATATCCTGTATTTCCAAGGCTAGTCCAGTACCACTTCCTCTGCTGAAAAGATGTGAATGTTTTTTTAACATAATTGATCTGTAAACAGTAAGCAAAAGTAATGATGACATTTGTAATTAAAAGAAATACACAACTAAAATATCTGAAAAAGAGGCATACACATATGTATTTATTGTAATTTATATGATCTACCCACTCACAACACCCACCCAACACCCACCC